GTTGAGTACCCCAAAGTTTTGTGATAGAAATGTATAGTACGGGTCCCAAATCGGCACAAAACAGTTGCATTATTAGCATTAACTATCATTTGCAGAGAATTGTTAAGAAATACCTTGGGCGTTTTGGAAAATGTGGGCAGTTTAAACCAGAAAGTGGCTGATTTTGATGATTTTTGAAGTTTTAGGGGTCTCAAAACTTCCATTTTTAATCGTAAGTATGTCAGAAGTGTATTCAACATCCGCAATAACCTCCAAAAACACACCAAAATTGTCCAAATCAGCAAAGCCATTTTGTAGCCATCGTCTGCATATGCTAATTAATGCAACTTATGCTAATTGTGCAAATCACCCAACATATGGAGGTTAGCATCTGGCAGCTTCTATGTGCTGGGGACCCTTACTGTACATTTCTATCATAAAGCTTTGGGGTCCTCAACATTTCCATGTTCACAACAGGCCTCTATGAGCTGGCAGACATTGAATCACTGCCCATGAACTCTGTTTGATCCAGAAAATGTGAAGGAGGTTGAACAGACGGACAGATTTCTCGTCCCCTGAGAGGGTGACGGATGAGTGTCTCTTCCACTGAGACGCAGGGAGAGGAGACACTTCTAGCCGTCCAGCAATCACACCGATGATGCACAACCTGGCAAAGCAATCAAACGCAGATATCAGGTTCAAGAACTCTTCGATATTGAGGATTCGTAGACTCTCGTATGTGAAGCTAAGATCGTACAGCCAGTGTTTTGACGATTTCACTCCATCTCCATCTTTGAAAAGATAATTAGTAGAGATGTCCCGATCCGATCACGTGATCGGGGATCGGAGCCGATCACGTGATTTTGAAAAGATCGGAATCGGGAGAAAAAGATCGGGGATCGGGAATCTTTTTTTTTTTTTTTTTTATAATTTAAATTTTTTTTATTTTATTTAATGTTACAAAACAAAAATGACCATGTTCACGTCTTAAAGTCATCCTGAGGCCTTAGTTTTGGTTTGAAATGACTCAACATCATGTGTGTGTTGCTTGGGCTTGTTTTCAGACCTGGTTGTTTATTCCTCTCAAAGCAACAGAGTGGGCGCAGTGTCTGATAGTAGCAGCTAACGAGAGGCTACGTTCAGCTGGTGACTCGTCGGGAGTCAGGACAGAGAAAATGTCAGGAGTTTGGAAGTATTCTAAAATTGAAAGCGAAGGCAGTTTAACAGCCAGATGCAATGTTTGCAAGGCGGAGGTTCCAAGAACAGAGCTACGTTCAACACGACCAATCTAACACACCACCTGAGAAACAAACACCAACAACACGGCGAGTACACAGCGGCCACTCGGGTAACGGCACTGAAGCAACCGACACTTTCAGAGACTTTCAAAAGGAAAGAGAAACGGCCCCAGAACAGTGAAAAGGCCAAAAGAATAACAGCCAAGAGAGCTGAACTCATCGCGGTGGATGACCAGCCGTTATCTGTTACCTTTTTATGCATTGCATAAAGATCGGAGCGGGAAAAATCGGTATCTGCAGATTGTCAATATCAAATGATCGGAATCGGATCGGGACATCCCTAATAATTAGAAAGTGGTCCAGCTTTCATTGTGATGTAAAATGATCCACTGAACCAACGTGGGGATGTCTCTGTTGATGTCTTTCACCACTTGTTATGTAATCAGTATGCATGGGAAGAGAAGTAAAACCAGCCAATTTCACAGACTCTTTAATGCCTCCTTGTTGTTCCCTTTTTCTTTTTTAAATGAGCTCTTTAAAAATGGCCTGAAGGAAGTAAAACAAATGGATCTGGTGTTTGTATCACCCTCTCTTTTTCAAGTACTTTGCCACAAGGCTTTCTGAACGTTCTTATTTACATAATGAAACCTCGGCTGCAGACATAATTAACTCCCCGTAAAATGTTCAAGTGACGCCAGAAGACAATGTCAACCATCCCACTTTAATGACGACATGTTTAAATGTCTGGTGTTGTCCAACCAACAGTCCAAACCCCAGAGATATTACATTGACAATCATATGACGCAAAAAGAAAGCAGCAAATCCTCAGAAACTGGAACCAGAAATATGGATGGCATTAGTAATCAATTTGAACAATGATAGTGGTTTAGTTGATTAAGATATACTGTATTGATCCCACATTGGGGAATGTACCTGTTACAGCAGCACGTTTACTTGATATTTAAAGAGCTAAACTAGTTTTCAGACAGGATCGTAACATTTCCGTCAAAAGTCAGTATGAGAGAGAGATCAACGCCATGTTATGCATGCCCACTGCACCTCGCGGGAGTGCGCACAGCGTGAAGCCAGAACTCACAGACATTTCAATGATTTGGCAAAGTTGGGTTTGTAAACGGTATCATTTCCTTTTTGGCAGGCATGCTTATCACCGGAGCCTCGCTGCGGGGAAACTTTGGCGCTGTTCCGAGTTTGTTCTAATCCGTCAAAATGACAGACTGCTTTCAGAGTTTTCCGTCATTGTTAAAAAAAATCCGTCATAGACGGAAAATATTCGGTTAACGCGACCTCTGGTCCCTTACAACTGTCATTTATTGTTATTATTGTTATTATTAAAGTGATGCCAGAAAACAATATTTCTGTTCGTCAAAACTGTATAATTACTCCAGAAATATGAGTATCAAACAGAGCGTCTGACGGCAGAGACAGCTTTGTTTTTACGGAGCTCCGACGCCATGTTGTTGTCTACGTCCGCGGCGCCATCTTGTATACGGGTGTCGTGTTTTCGCCAGAATTGATATATTTTATATACAAGATCAGCGCCTCAGTACTCATACTTTATCTTTCTAGAAAAACCCTTGCTTTCGATATGAAATCTTCTGTCTCAACACAAGTTTTACGATTTCTGAAGTAAAAAGCTAATGTTGGGCTATAATGGAACTTCAGCACGGTCACATGACTTCACGTCACCACCGCTAAGCTAAAGGTGGCTAATGTTGGGCTATAAAGGAACTACAGCACGGTCACATGACTTCACGTCACCACCACTAAGCTAAAGGAGGCTAATGTTGGGCTATAAAGGAACTACAGCATGGTCACATGACTTCACGTCACCACCGCTAAGCTAAAGGTGGCTAATGTTGGGCTATAAAGGAACTACAGCACGGTCACATGACTTCTTGTCACCACCGCTAAGCTAAAGGAGGCTAATGTTGGGCTATAAAGGAGGCTAATGTTGGGCTATAAAGGAACTACAGCACGGTCACATGACTTCACGTCACCACCGCTAAGCTAAAGGTGGCTAATGTTGGGCTAAAAAAGAACTACAGCACGGTCACATGACTTCACGTCACCACCGCTAAGCTAAAGGTGGCTAATGTTGGGCTATAAAGGAACTACAGCACGGTCACATGACTTCACGTCACCACCGCTAAGCTAAAGGCGGCTAATGTTGGGCTATAAAGGAACTACAGCACGGTCACATGACTTCACGTCACCACCGCTAAGCTAAAGGTGGCTAATGTTGGGCTATAAAGGAACTACAGCACGGTCACATGACTTCATGTCACCACCGCTAAGCTAAAGGCGGCTAATGTTGGGCGTGATGACGTTTAGTCATCTCATTTAGACACTTGTTAGCAACCGCAGTTTTTAAATTAACCAGTAGGGTATTTACTGATGGATTTCATGTGGTAGAACAAACATCTCTTCAGCTTGTTTCATTCAGAAAACGATTGACTTCCGGACCAGGGAAGAGAATAGAGCTAAAATGCTGAATAATTTCCAGGTTCAGCCCTTGATGTGTCGCCCCTGGTTTCCCTCCTGTGTGATCCAGTAACACAGGAGGGAACCCGAGGGGAAACCACTCTCCATCTGAGCCATTTCCCCAGGAGAGGTTAGGTAACAAATGGGAGGAAATTACCAGGTAGAGCGGTGGGTTCTGGTCACCGATGGAGAACTGTACAAAAGACAATTTACTGCAGTGGGTACCATAATGGGTCCTTGAGGAGAACAGCTGATGGTGAGGACACTCCTGTTTTGAGGGAGGAAATTACAGGCTGGACAAAAGAGGGGGGATGTCTAATGGCTGCTATCATTATCACCATCATTTCCAGTTCATCCCCATGCAAGAGTATGAGGATATTTCTGGTCTGAGTCACTGGAAACGCTCTGCATGTCGTTGTGTTCTCGATTAACTCAATGTTTTGGTCTCGTGGTGACAAGTCAAAAAGCTTCACAGCCGCGATGCTCTGATTGGAGGAAATTGAAAATGATTGCAGGTGGATTCAGGACGCTTTGATGTTTTTTTAAAACAACACTGAAGAATTGACTTTCTGGCAATACAGAATCCATACAAAATGTGACGTGGAGTAATTACACAATTATAGACAAACAGAAATATTGTTTTCTGGCATCACATTAACATTTTAGGGGGAACATCTGCATTTTGGTATGAGGCCGCGCACACACACGCACGCACGCACACACACACACACACACACACACACACACACACACACACACACACACACACACACACACACACAGAGTAAGAAATGCCCTTCTGGTGTTGACCAAAACAGATTTTAGACGGATGATATTTCACACTTTAAATAGTGCCATTTTGATGTGTTGTTTTTGCTTCGTGTAACCACATTACGGACAGTTTGTAAAACTGGCTGTAACGGCAAGGGCAGTGTATTTACAAAGCAGGTTTTAGACCATTTATAAAGTGCTTTTCATGAGCATAAATATACAAAACAGATCATGCATTTAAGAGGTGTAGATAAACAAACATTTAATATTTAAATGCCCGCGAGATAAGACGGTTGAAAACAACAACGACGAGGACGGCAAACCTCAAGCGTTTCTGAAGACACTGAAAGCTGCTTCATCACAAAATGAAATTGAAATACGTTGCTTTGTTGACAATTAATGGACATTATAAGGACCGTAAAAGTTGACGGTTTTATGAACACTTCAATCTAGACAAACCTCCAAGGTCCTAATGAGAAATAACTTTTTCCTCCTGTCTTTTTCCTCCAGTTTGTGAAGTTTGCCAACATCGAGGAGGACACGCCGTCGTACCACCGTCGCTACGACTTCTTCGTGTCCCAGTTCAGCGCCATGTGCCACTCCACTCACGAAGACACTGAGACCAGAACCAGGTAAGAGGACTTACCTGATCACAGGTGAGATCACAGGTCTCAGATATATGCAGAGCCTGTCTCTGATTGGCTGAAACACCAAACAGATCATTGCAGCATTACCCATAATCCCCTCTGTTTCAGCCCTGTTTCCAAAGTGCTGATTCTCTGTCTGTTACTTTAGATGAAAATAAGGAGCCCCTCCCCACGCCCCTCTGAGAGACATTTGGTTACAAAGAACTCAATGGTGCTCTAGGAGGAGATTCAGGTGATAAGGGGGGGGGGGGGGGGGGGGGGTACCTTGGTTGCTGATTGGCTAATGGTTACACAAGACAAACACATCGTTATGACATCATAAAGTGGCCAAAATCTGATCAGCTCATTTTCAGACAGGTTTTTATAGAAATGGATCAAAAAGAGAGAGAATCTTTGTTCCTGAACCTTTCAGAGTCTCTTTCCACAGAGGGGACACATGTTGATGTAGAAGAGACATGAAGAAGAGGGGACACATGTTGATGTAGAAGAGACATGAAGAAGAGGGGACATATGTTGATGTAGAAGAGACATGAAGAAGAGGGAACACATGTTGATGTAGAAGAGACATGAAGAAGAGGGAACACATGTTGATGTAGAAGAGACATGGAGAAGAGGGGACACATGTTGATGTAGAAGAGACATGAAGAAGAGGGGACACATGGTGATGTAGAAGATACATGAAGAAGAGGGGACACATGTTGATGTAGAAGAGACATGAAGAAGAGGGGACACATGTTGATGTAGAAGAGACATGAAGAAGAGGGAACACATGTTGATGTAGAAGAGACGTGAAGAAGAGGGGACATATGTTGATGTAGAAGAGACATGAAGAAGAGGGGACACATGTTGAGAAGAGACATGAAGAAGAGGGGACACATGTTGATGTAGAAGAGACATGAAGAGAGGGGACACATGTTGATGTGGAAAGAGACATGAAGAAGAGGGGACACATGTTGATGTAGAAGAACACATGAAGACGAGGGGACACATGTTGATGTAGAAGAGACATGAAGAAGAGGGGACACATGTTGATGTAGAAGAGACATGAAGAAGAGGGGACACATGTTGATGTAGAAGAGACATGAAGAAGAGGGGACACATGTTGATGTAGAAGAGACATGATGAAGAGGGGACACATGTTGATGTGGAAGAGACATGAGAAGAGGGGACACATGTTGATGTAGAAGAGACATGAAGAAGAGGGGACACATGTGATGTAGAAAGAGACATGAAGAAGAGGGGACACATGTTGATGTGGAAGAGACATGAAGAAGAGGGGACACATGTTGATGTAGAAGAGACATGAAGAAGAGGGGACACATGTTGATGTAGAAGAGACATAAAGAAGAGGGGACACATGTTGATGTAGAAAGAGACATGAAGAAGAGGGGACACATGTTGATGTAGAAGAGACATGAGAAGAGGGGACACATGTTGATGTAGAAGAGACATGAAGAAGAGGGGACACTGTTGATGTAGAAGAGACATGAAGAGAGGGGAACACATGTTGATGTAGAAGAACATGGAAGAAGAGGGGACACATGTTGATGTAGAAGAGACATGAAGAAGAGGGGACACATGTTGATGTAGAGAGGACATGAAGAAGAGGGGACACATGTGTATGTAGAAGAGACAATGAAGAAGAGGGTACACATGTTGATGTAGAAGAGACATGAATGAAGAGGGGACACATGTTGATGTAGAAGAGCAATGACGAAGAGGGGACACATGTGATGTAGAAGAGACATGGAAGAAGAGGGGACACATGTTGATGTAGAAGAGACATGAAGAAGAGGGGACACATGTTGATGTAGAAGAGACATGAAGAAGAGGGGACACATGTTGATGTAGAAGAGACATGAAGAAGAGGGGACACATGTTGATGTAGAAGAGACATGAAGAAGAGGGGACACATGTTGATGTAGAAGAGAAGAGAAGAAGAAGAGGGGGACATGTTGATGTAGAAGATACATGAAGAGAGGGGACACATGTTGAGTAGAAGAGACATGAGAAGAGGGGACACATGTTGAGTAGAGAGACATGGAGAAGAGGGGACACATGTTGATGTAGGAGAGACATGGAGAAGAGGGGACACATGTTGATGTAGAAGAGACATGGAGAAGAGGGGACACATGTTGATGTAGAAGAGACATGAAGAAGAGAGGACACACATGTTGATGTAGAAGAGACATGAAGAAGAGGGGACACATGTTGATGTAGAAGAGACATGGAGAAGAGGGGGACACATGTTGATGTAGAAGAGACATGGAGAAGAGGGGACACATGTTGATGTAGAAGAGACATGAAGAAGAGGGGGACACATGTTGATGTAGAAGAGACATGAAGAAGAGGGGACACATGTTGATGTAGAAGAGACATGAAGAAGAGGGGACACATGTTGATGTAGAAGAGACGTGAAGAAGAGGGGACACATGGTGATGTAGAAGACACATGAAGAAGAGGGGACACATGTTGATGTAGAAGAGACATGAAGAAGAGGGGGACACATGTTGATGTAGAAGAGACATGAAGAAGAGGGGACACATGTTGATGTAGAAGAGACATGGAGAAGAGGGGACACATGTTGATGTAGAAGAGACATGAAGAAGAGGGGACACATGTTGATGTAGAAGAGACATGAAGAAGAGGGGACACATGTTGATGTAGAAGAGACATGAAGAAGAGGGGCCACATGTTGATGTAGAAGAGACATGAAGAAGAGGGGACACATGTTGATGTAGAAGAGACGTGAAGAAGAGGGGACACATGGTGATGTAGAAGACACATGAAGAAGAGGGGACACATGGTGATGTAGAAGACACATGAAGAAGAGGGGACACATGTTGATGTAGAAGAGACATGATTTAGCATAATAGACTGGACCATTCCAAATCATTTCAGTCCATTTTAAATCCAATAACTTTAATTTCTCAACACTGATACTACATTCTTAGAAGATTCCTAACAGTCCTAAGGGTTTGATTAGTATTTGTGGTACTTATTATACTACTAGTACTCTTATTTATGTATTTCTGCTCCTCATATTTGAAGGTAGTACTCACCTGGTAGCATGATATCCTAGAGTTTAACGCTTAGTTGAAAACATTCAAATATATGTCATGTTTAAATCCACCTAAAAAATATATATAAGATGGTACATAGCTGTTTGTAACTTAATGAAAACCAATATCCGCTTTACACCAAGTACTTAGCCGGTACTTGTTCCCCCCGAACTCTTTAGTCCCTCGAACTGTCCTAGTAGATCGCGTTCACACCGGAATAAGTTCCCTGAGGGAGGATTAGGCAAACAAAGCCGCTGACATCACTTCTTCTTCTTCTGCTTTGGGTTTACTGGCAGGCTGCTGGGTCGCCAGAAGCGCCGACACCTCCTCATCACTCCACCGCTCCCATGTTTTCTTTTGTGTTGCCATAAGTTAGTCTCTCTCCGTTGGTGCGCTGGGCTAATGCTAATAATGCTAATGCTAATAATGCTAATGCGAGCAAATAAAATGGCGGCTTCACAAAACTTTGGAGTTTTGTGGGGCGTGGTTTGCAATTCTTCCAGCCAATCAGAACTTGTTAGTGTGGCCGACCCACGAACCATTTCCTCCTCAGGAAACTACCGCCTCTCTAGCAGGGACCATCTGGGGGTGAAGAGGTTCACGCAAACTAGGGACTAGTTCCAGATCCTTTTTGGTGTGAAACCAAATCTCCCCCCTCTCGGCCTAGTTCGGGGGGAAAAGTACTCCGGTGTGAAAGCGCCTAATGTTTAGTATTAAAGAGTCCCTATCCACCTCATTTTCATCACTAGGAATCTTTCCGTCCGTGCTCTGGAGGGAACAAAAGGATGTTAGCCTTTGCAGACCATTTACATGCACTAAAACCTATACAGCACACTACGGGAGAGGAAAACACCCCAGAAAGAAGAATTATAAAGGAGTATATCTCCAGAAAAAGGACTCATTGGATCACCAGAGAAACTACAGACTACCCGGGTTGGATTATTATTATTTTCAGAGCTCGAATTTTTTGTCTTGCTTCTTTTTCAACTTTGTGTAGGTTGAAATAGTTGATAGACATTTGGGTGGGTGAGCGGTTGTTTAATGTTTAATAAAATGCCGGCTATGTTCATTTAATATTGTTCCTTCTAGTTTGTATTATCTTCTACTCCTCATTGAAAGCAACCTTTTACATAACGATGTTACATTAACAAAGACCCCTTTAAGAGCTCCACTGTGTATAGCCATTCTTCTACATTACATTGCATTTAGCTGACGCTTTTATCCAAAGCGACTTACAATAAGTGCGTTCGACCAGGAAGACACAACCTTGAAGAAAACAGAATCATATAAGTACATCATGCTTCATAGAGCCAAACATTTCAAGTGCTACTCAACTGGCTTTAGGTAAGCCAGTCCTTTATTAGTATATAAGTGCTTTGTTAATAGTTCTATCGCTCGAAGTGGAGTCGAAAGAGATGAGTTTTCAGTTTGCGCCGGAAGATGTGCAAGCTATCTGCCGTCCTGATGTCAATGGGGAGCTCATTCCACCATTTTGGAGCCAGGATAGCAAACCCATGTGTTTTCGCCGATGGGAACTTGGGTCCCCCTCGCAGCGAAAGCGCAACGAGTCGTTTGGCTGATGCAGAGCGGAGTGCACGCGCTGGGGTGTACGGTTTAACCATGTCCTGGATGTAGGAAGGGCCAGATCCATTCGCAGCATGGTAAGCAAGTACCAGTGTCTTGAAGTGGATTCTAGCAGTTACTGGAAGCCAGTGAAGGGAGCGGAGGAGCGGAGTGGTGTGGGAGAATTTAGGAAGGTTGAAGACCAGACGAGCCGCTGCATTCTGGATGAGCTGCAGAGGTCGGATGGCACATGCAGGTAGACCAGCCAGGAGGGAGTTGCAGTAGTCTAGGCGTGAGATGACTAGAGCCTGGACCAGAACCTGAGTCGCTTTCTGAGTCAGCTGGGGACGTATCTTCCTG